CCCCCCCCACACACACACACACACTTTGCTGTAGTGACCCGAGTGAGGCTACAGCTGGCTGTGCAGAGCTTCCCTTGTTCCCTACTACCAAACATCTGAACCTGTGGGGAGCCCCACTGGCTGGATTTCATGGCTCTGTGGGCTGCAGTTGGCCCACAGGCTGCTGGCAGATTGAGATAGTATGGGCACCTGTGTGTTAATGTTGCAAGATAAAACTTTGAACCATGCAATAGTGCAATTAAATCTCAGCAAGCTGTGCCATGACATGAATTATTCCCTCAACACTACCAGCACAAAAGGGAGGAGGGGCATGGAGCCAGACTGAGAATCAGGCCCACCAGCTTCAAAGAATTGTCTTCACATCACAAATCTGAAGAATATATCTAGTTCCCAAAAAACCCTTTCCCATTCTTACTGAGTGTATAATTTCATGCTATTGTAGTGCAAAGATTGAATGTGAGCTGCAAGAGAGAACAGTTGAGAAATGTAAATTTAGATATTAAAAAATTCTAGTTTAGAGACCGTATAAGATGCTCCTCTAATGTGGTGCTGTCGATCAAAGGCTTGTCACTGGCCCGCACGTTGTTTGCCACAAGTCAGAGTACAGCAACACTCCGTTTCCAGGAGCACTGCCTGTTGTGATAACTTCACTCTATTGATCCTAAATTACATGCTAAAAAGTTGGGTCCTTTTGTTGCTGGATCCTTTTTTTGCCCTTCTGTTATATGGGTTGCTGAGGGATTCAAGCATAAGGATCAGATTGTACGTGATATTTTTTCACTTGTCCCTAGGTTTTCAAAGCCCTTTTGTTCCTTTTTTGGATGCCACTAGCCTTCAAGTGAAGAATGTTACTGCTTGTGGAAATATTTCTGATAGCCAGGTTTAACCTGACTTGCCTGTTAGGGCACTAACAGTCTTGCTGGAATTCACTTAGTCTTTGCAAGAGAGATTTCATACATAGTTGTGTGTGTGACTTGGGGAGTTTGCTTTTGGAACATTGTGGTAGTTCAGAGAGAACAAAACAGTACTTCACAAAAATATTTCATTGTATGTAGACACCACTTTACACACTGGGAGTTGGAATGATTTGATGCTAATTGTTAGCATCTCAGTATTATTAGTTTTCTAGAGGATTCAGGCTCCCAGGGCCAAAGAGTTGGTGTTTGTTAAGGATAAAAGCAGAGTTTCCTCATGTAGGAGGGAGAAACAGCAGCCCGAAGTAGTGAATGGTAGCTAAGTAGTAAAGTATGCAATATAATTATTCGCTTACCATGTATAGTATCTCACAAAAAAGATGCTCTCACTGGCATCACCACATGGAAATATGCCACTTCTCACTGAGTGTAGTCTTCAAAAGAGAGTTTGTCACAATGCTACCTTACTGTGGCTGAGAGATTAGAGTCCTAGAGGCCAGCCATTAAATGCTTCCTATGCTACATCTAGCACTATTTATATACAGTGTCATCCTCTTCCTTTTCTGTGTCTTTTCCCTCGCATAGGTTTCTCATTAAGCACTGATGCTGTCCCCAAATGGTGCACAAGAAAGTTTTCTCTCCTTTGTTAATTAGTTGGACATTTTTGCACATTGGCTGACTTTAAACAAGCAAAGGGCAGTCTCAAAAGAACAGGACACTGAAAATTTAAAAATATACTTTAACATGCTGGCTTGGTGCCCTACAGGCAGCTCAGCTCCAGTTCGGGGTCTGGAGTGGCTAAGAGGTATGGAATCAGTGAGCTAATTTCCTCAGTGCAGGAAAAAAGCATCATCTGTTACCCAGTGCTGGTCCTCCTGCTGAAGTCATGATGCAATATCTAGTCCTTTCACTCTGTCTGGAAAAAAAGCTGCCCTTGAGGAGGAGATGTTAGGCAAGTCAGAGAGCTTGCTTTCTCTTCCTGCTTTCTCATCCCAGTGCCATGCACAGTCTCATGTAATTATAAAAGAAACTCCATGAGCTATGGTAAATACAACCCAGGAGGCTTCCTAGTGCATGTGTAAATGGGTTAGTTTGCTATTAAAAAAAAAAAGCATAAAAGGTCATTCTGATCTGTTGTATTAAATGGTACATTCTAGGTAGCAGGTCCTCAGCTGATGTAAATTATCATAGGTGCCTCAATTTCAGTGGAACTGTGACAGCTTACATCAGCTAAGCATCTGCCCCAGATTGGCAGAGGTTTGGAATTTGTGCTGACTGTATGATGTTACTTAAAGATTGAAGAGCTGGAAGAACAATGTAATGAAATAAATAAAGAAAAAGAAAGAAATGTACAGCTGAGCAGACGCCTCCAGGAACTGGAATCAGAACTTCAGGACAAAGATCTAGTAAGTAAAATAAATACAGAAATGGCATAAATTCTTTGGAGTCTGAGTGGGTTTTTTAACTTTGTGTTGCTTTGCGTAATATTGCACCCACAATCAAGGAGAGCTCCACATGTTACAATAGGTCCCCTTTTTTTATTTGAATTTGAATCTGGTGATTGTTAACAAAACTTGATGAATACTTTGGACATATTACACCTTTCTTCTGAGAATTTCTCTGTTCCTGAATTAAACAATATAATACCTGCTAAGATAGGTAATTAGGAGTATCCTCATTTTACAGCTTGGTAAAATTAATTGGACAAGTTAATTGACTTGTCCAAAGTCATATAGTACATGAGTTGAGAATAGGATTCAAGGATTCTGATTCTCAATCCCCCCTTTAATCACTATACAAAGTATTCAGTAGAAGCAAGGGGGAGAAATAAGGTTGTTTCTCTGTTAAGAACAGTCTCCCTGTTAAGAAATGTACTTCCTCTTTAAGATGTTTTACAGC